GATCACTATTCAACTAACATAATAATAATAAAATTTCGCTAAGATCTATTTCTTTCGCATATGTGTTGGTAGCATGAATGCTCGTAAGTACTTTTTCAATAACGTTTGATAGCAATAAGATAGAGAACTGCGATTTTGACCATTAAAAAGAGGAGATGAAGGCGCATCGAACTGTAGATTACTGATTTTTCTAATATGATTTCTGAAGTGTTTTTATTCAATTTTCTAACCGTCGGAAAAATGCTTTTTTTATGAAAAAAAGAAAAACAGAAAAACTGATCGAAAATCGTAGTAGAGGTTCGTCTAGAATACGTATTATCCCCAAATAATTAAATTTACACCCGGGTCTTTCGCGTTTGTAGATCTTCGATTAGCGGTTTGAATGTGAACCTGATTATTGAAAATTCACTGTAAACAACTCACAGGATAGGTTTGTTCTTTAAAAGGTCAACTAAAAACCTTACAAAAAACAGGTTAGGAAAATCAGTAATATATGGTTTGATGCGCCTTCATCTCCTCTTTCCAATGGTCAAAATCGCAGTTCTCTATCTTATTGCTATCAAACGTTATTGAAAAAGTACTTACGAGCATTCATGCTACCAACACATATGCGAAAGAAATAGATCTTAGCGAAATTTTATTATTATGATATTAGTTGAATAGTGATCAAATAGCATAGAAAAATAGAGCGAAAGACGCTCTATCTGTTCATAGAAAAAGAAAAATTTTTCAAGCTTTCTATAAGAAAAAATCGTACCTCCCTCACTACTTTTGGATAGCCCTAAGTATGTACTATCAAGTATCTCATACACGATATACTTAACAAAAACGTCAAATCTTCTTATTAGACCTTTGAAAATCCTCTTAAAAAAAAGTACTATAAAATATTTGTGCTAGAAATCAGTGAAAAATGGCGAAATCTTGTTTCTCTTATAAAATATCTTTTCTCATTTTCAAACTTCAAAGCAAATAGTGCATTCTGTACAAAATTTAAGTCTTCATCTAGTGGCATAGTTTATAAAATTTTAGAAAGAAATAGGTTGATCAAGAAATCGAAATTAAAAATCTCAAAAAATTTAAATATAGCTGTTTTAGTTTAAATTCAGATTTTTGTTAAAAATAAAATTGATATTCGTAATCAACGTAAAATACTGCGGCTGATAAGGCATATTTAAGGCTGATTTAAGAGAAAATTTTTTCTTCAATCATCTGATTTGAAGATCATCCTTAGCCGTTCATACTACAACTGTATAAATCTTCAGATAATGGAATTGAATATCAGCGAATACTTCAGTTATTTTCACCTGACAATGCCCTATGAGCAACCTTCTGCCTCTTTCTCGAAAAAATTTTTGATTATAAGGTGAACATAGTCTAATATTTCTGCAAGTCTGGGTTACGATGGTACAAACACCATGGAAAAAGTAACCTGTCTAATGGTACCTATAATACTCAAAGCATTGGTAGCATTAGCGGTAACGCTTATATCTCCTCAAAACTGATTGAAAATTTTCAGAAGACGTCACATTGTATAGACAACACTTTTCTCTATCACACCATGTGTAAGAAAAAGTCTTAAAGGCACTGAAAAGGAACAGAAGAATTTTTGAAACTAAAAGATTAAGTTTTTTAGCTTGTAGACAAAACTTTAGAAAATTCCTAATTTTTTCAAAAATATAGCGGAACGCTGAAAGTGGTCATATTTTGAAAAAACAACAATTGTTGAATCAATAGGCGTGTAACATGAAAATGCTATCTCAAGATCCGCCGAAGGAATTTTGATAAATCTCAGTACCTAAGGGTTTTGAGCGATGCTCTTTCCGATGGCTAACTTGAAATAATTTTTGTTGCCCGAGTCATGTAGTATTGCTTTTATTTGGTTGTATGAGCTTAAACACAAGGTTNTACTACATGACTCGGGCAACAAAAGAACAAATTGATTTATCCTGATACTGTCAGATGCTTTGATAAGAGGAAAAAGTGTGTATAACTATGAAATAGTACATTACAGAACAGAAAAAAAACTACTGTAATGTAGTAAAACGTCAAAAGCCTATGAAAAAGCATAGAAATTCGTTGAAGACGAAGATAAAGTCATTTTCATGCATCACATGCAATAAAAACTAGATATAATATCGGAAGTATCGATAATAGTGAAAAAAGAAGCTAAAATTTGCCTGAGGTTTTCTAGAAAACTACTTAAAATCTGTTCAAAATCCTCTTTTAGACATTCAAAAACCATTGGGTTTGGTCAGCTCTTCAAACTCTGTCGATAACCATATCTTAAGATTTCATTAGATGCTTTAAAGTACTGAAAAAGGAACTAAAATATAAATTTTAGTATGTAGGTTTTTGAGAAACCTCGAGAAAACCATTTTTATCCAAGACCTGGAACTCACCAACTGTCCAGATATGTTCAATTTTTCGAGCTTTATCCAACCATGTCCTTAGAAATGTTTCAGCTAGCTTGCGAACGCGGAGAGTGCAGTTTTAAAAAAATTTCACATTTAAAAGTTAAATAAAAATTTCAGGTTATGAGCTAGAGAGTCCGACTTTTTTTTAAAATGTAGCCCACTCAATTCTGAATAGAACCGCTAATTTGAAATATTTTTGCAGACAAGTGTTTCTTTAAAAAGAATTATTTTCTGTAAATGGATATGTGAAAAACCATGGTTATCTGGAAACCCTACTTCTAACATTTTTAAGATTATTTCGAGTTAGCCATCGGAAAGAGCATCGCTCAAAACCCTTAAGAATTGAGATTTATCAAAATCCGTTCTCTTCTTCATACTGTAAAAATTGAAAACTTTCTCATGTTACACACCTATTGAAAGTGGAAGAGTATACTGGCAGAAAGTGTACAGTTATAAATTCATGTGACATTTATTTTATCATTGGCATTATCATTGACAGATGTGTTTTCCCACAAGATTATTTTCCTCAGAATAAATACAGTACATAAAGAATGCCAGAACATGATTTTCGTAATGTGTAAATGAGACCTTTTATCACAGTAACAGAAAGAGATATTTTTGTTTTTCGATAGATTTTCACGTAATTTGATATTACAGCTAGCTATAGAGTAAGATCAAGACATTAATGAAGATCAATCAAAATCTCACTTCTTTAAAACAAAACAGAGAAATATACTAGTGTCAGTACTTACTGTCAATAGCTTTTAATGTCAATATCATTCTCCTTTGCCATTCGATTCTATCATAGAATAATCAGACGTAGTTTAGCAAAACTTTGCGTAGGTTAACATTCAATTTTTCTTCCAGTTTGTTCAATGCGTCGCACACTAACTGATGTTTCTCTACTTTCATTTTTCATATTTCTATTAACTGCGATTCAAACAGGTAAGAATTGAACTAGTAATAGAATTTTTTGATAATACAGTCTAACCGCATAGCCATCTGAACGCGTGCAATGTTTTAATACCAAACTATGTCGAAAACGACATAGTTTTTAAGGCGCGTTAACTTTTTTTCGATTTCACCATTATGGAACGTTATTGAAGCTACATCTCCCTCTTCTTTCATCTTATGGGAAATCTGGAGTAAACGTCTGATCGCGTTCAAATTCATATCAGCGATGGAACATTCGAAAAGAAAATTGACGTATTTTTACCCCCATACCAGAATTTTCTGGCATGTTCTTCCATGGTTATCCAGAAAACTTGGGTTTTCATCCATGTACATTACAATGCCAATTTCGAACAGGATCGGATGAAGTTTTCGTTATCTAACAGGTTATGGAATTCCAAAAAATGATTTTTTGAACAAATAGGTCGAGTTATAACGTGTTGGTTTCGAAACTTTTAACACATTTTTTTTTCTCTTATTTTTTTACTAAGATCTTTTGCAAACTCAGATTTGGTGATTACGATTCAGAACATGGACAGCAATATAATATGTAAATATTTGAATACATCTTTGTTTTTCACCACAAAATTTGGCACGTAATATTCTTTACAAACTAGTGTCATATTCTGATAAAAATATTCTTAAAGTTTGACTAAATGAGTTACGTTGTCTAGTATTTTTAGGAACTGCTTCAAAACGAACAGTGAATGCTTTAATAATTATTGATGTTCAAAATTGTTTCATTAACGGTGAATTAGCCTTAACAAGTAGTCCAGCAAAACAAAAGGGAGAAGATGTGATACCCGTTATCAATAATCTTTTGAAAACTGTTCCGTTCGATGTTGTCGTCTACACACACGACTGGCATCCATCTGATCATATTTCATTTTTCAAAAATTTGAAACAACGACAACGCTATGTAAAACAGGGAACAAAACTACCTAATGGACCGCTTGATAAGGTGCACTATACCGGTCCCGTAGTAGAAACTGAGCAGGTTCTCTGGCCAACTCATTGCATCCAAGACACTCCAGATGCCGAATTACATCGTGATTTAATCGTAACAACAAATAATACTATACATGTGTACAAAGGTACACATCGAGATATTGATAGTTACTCTGCGTTTCGAGATAACAATCGAGTCAGTGAAACAGAACTGAATGTACAACTAAAACAACGAAACGTAACAAATCTTTATATATCTGGTTTGACGACGGACTATTGCGTGGCATTTACGGCTTTAGATGCAAAAGACTACGGATATCGAACATATCTTGTAGAAGATGCTTGCCGTGGAGTGGATTTTGTTTCTATCAAAAATCAATTGGATGTAATGAAACGTCATGGAATTGACATTATTCAATCATCTCAAGTTCTCAAAATAATCAACACTGGTGGGGCGAAACAATTGAATTTTTGTCTGGCCATTTTCTGTTGTCTTTCAGTATTATTATTACTAGATAAGTAAGCATACATACATTTTTTTAAGTGCCATATTAGGTATGAGTTATAACACGTGCGTATAATGACATTAAGTGTTAAGGTAACCGCAAAAACAATGTAATCAAGTTTTACAATAAAATAAATGTTTATTTTATGTTTATAGCTATCTGTGAGATACCTTTTACAGCAGCTGTTGCAAAATTAATGGGGACGTAAACATAGTATAAATTGTGCTAGCAGCTTTGCGCGAAAGTATCCTGTTTGCGAGGCTAAAAAAACTGTTTCGATTCCACTTATCATCATTTGTTTTTCATTAAGGAAATAAAGAATATAGCTACATCCATCTTTTTGTTTGAGCGTTTGCCATTGCGCTTATTCTACAATGTTAGTGTGCCTCTCAGTTTTCTACTATTCTCATTTACTTTCTTATTTCTAATTGGATATCTGGAAATAATATCAATTATTGAAGGAGTTGAACATATGTAGTATTTCTATAACGAAAAACAGAAACAGATAATACATTCATTACAATAAGCGTGGTGCGATACCAGATAGAGGATGACAATGGTCATTTAATCATTGTTAGTTGCCTAATACACATATCTAATTTCTAACAAAAAAACGTGTAATTAATTACTTATGCATCATATCGAAATCTTGCAATGAAAAACACCAGTTTCGCCTTGTTCTTGAATGTAACCCATTTCTATGATGACAATCACGACAAAACTTGGTAATATTAAGTCTTAAAAACATTATACCGTTTTAGGAAATTCATATAGAAAGAATACAGTCAGTAATGGAAAATAAAAGCTTGTGTGAAGATAAAGCACATTGTCCCTAGAAAGAATAAAATCCTTTGTTTATATATTAAGTAGCTCAACGATTTTTTCGGATTCTTAATCATCATCATTTTGCGCAGAATCTCCGCCACGGCCAAATATGATTAATAACTAGCGCTTTCCTCTTCAACAATGCACGTATTCTGAAACTAGTACAGTATAATCTGCGTGTTGCGGTCAGACAGACTTTTCTAAGTTCTCAATTTTCAAATGGAATGGACAACGAGCATCACATAAGGGAGACTGTACGCAAATTGAGTCCGTTTATTGTAATAGCAAGTGTAAGCTGTCACAGCTACTATTCGGTAAAAAGGACTAAGAGTCTCAGAGGATGGAGGGAAACATTACTGGCAGCATCTTCACAGTATATTCGTCGTTATATAAAATGCAGATCCTGAGCAAGAACAAAAAGAATGGAATAGTAGTATGCAGTATGATCAGCGTTCGTCAACCACATGTATATTCGTAACGGTCGAGACAATCCAATGTTCCAGTAGTGTTCTGAGAGTGGTCATATTTCTATCTAATAATTCAAGTAGCCAAACGTTTAGATAATCTTACAAAACACCTCGCCTTCCTATTATTTTCTCGACAGCAATGATCAATCACCTTGACTTAGAGGCATTTGTTCCTTGTTGAAACTTGTTTTTAAAAGTATCAATATTTGCCGTTTTTTTTTGTTCCCGTTGTTCTGAAATGTATACTTCAACAGCTATTTTCAGTCGTATCAACAATCTTCAATCGAGTATTTCATTTAGTGCTATAAAGTATAGACCTGTTTTGCTTAATGTCATTACAAACTGATCAGCTTCGAATCAATGTTCGAGATTTACTCTATAAGACTAAGTACTATTTTCATCTTCTGTCTATCGTGTTTCTCTGTATTATAGATTGTTGAGTTAAAATTCAATAAGAATTTTTTCCATTCTATCTTTTAAAACAAAATTTTGGGTGCCCATTGACGCTCTTTCAGCATTTCTCGATTGTATATATTATAGGAAACTACCCATATATTTTGACATTCCGTAGATTATTTATCACTGTATCCTAAGGCGTGCTAGTTTCCGCTAATATTTGAGCGAGCAACGATACGTTATAGTGGTAGGACTCCAGCAGAGATACAATTGGGCAGTAAAATAACAGTTCATGATTTTCCACTCATATCCATTAGACAGCTTCTGACTATACACGAATGGTGCCTTAAATCGGGAATAATCATCTTGCAATCAGCTTTATCCAGCTGTGTGCAGTCGTGTTCAAATAGATCATGCTAGAAACGATCGTGCAACACTGACAGGATCTCATTCTAAGTCAAGTATTCGATTTTTTGGCTCCTAATAAAGCTATGTGTCCTATAATATACTAATATAAAAGGCGCATTTCTTTTTTCCTTTTTTGAAAATTAAATTGTTCAGTCATCTTTTATTAGTGTACATATTGTTCATACACGAATATAAACGTAGTAAAATAGGCTAACGTGTATCTGAGCATGCAATATTCATTAAAGCGATAATCTCACATAAAACTAGACGCTTACGTGGTTTTGAGTAATATTAGTAGTCATTAGAAAAATATAAATGTTAATAATATTTCATGAAACGATTTCGTACAAAATGTAAGAGTTTGTTCGTTAAATACAAACATTTACCGTCATGTCAAACTCTACCAGCTGTTATCAGTCCATTATTATCACCTTCCACTGCGTTAAATTATAGCAACAGTACGGGAGAGAAAAAACAAATGACTGTTATTAACACTGTGCAAGGCAAAACACTGAAGAAAGAAAAATTACAAAAGCAGAAATTTTCTCTCATATTGAATAAATCACGATCATGTTGCAAAGGTATTCGCCAAATAAAACTTAACTAAGATAATGAAAGTTTATATAAAAAAATTACGTCTAAATTAATTTTTTATTTTAGCTCCATTAGAAGAAGGGCTTGTATTAAAAACGGATAATTGGCAAATTCATTTTACAAGCGATTATGACTGTACATGTGCCATGCTCGATTCATCAAGTAAACGAAAGTTTTTCATTATGATTGAATTATTCTTAAGATTCGTGACAACTATTTGTTAATGTAGGTATGAAGTTTATTTTAGAATTATTTGAACAAGATTGGAACTTGTACCAGGAGGAATGTGGACATATTCCTAACAAGAGATATAATAGTTCTAGAAAAAAGGCAAACCAAAGCAAAACTGATATTAGATCTGATGGAGATTCTTTAGATGGATTCATTCAAGAACAAGTAAAAAATAAATGTGATTCTTAAAATGTTGTGAATACGATGTTTTCAGATGAAAACCATCAACAATCTTAAGTATTGTTTTCTTTAGCTCAGTGTAAAAGATGAAGATATACAGAAATTGACGTTCAGTTTACGACGAAGCCATCCAGAACAAAATAAAAATACATTCTTTCATAATCAAAAATTATCAGTCACTCTTACACCTAATTCACAACCATCAAATACGACGTTAACACATCCCTCGTCATCCAATATTCGTTGGTATCACTCTATTAATCGAAAGGTACCTGGTCTTTCATCAGATAGAATTATAATATCAAATCCTAATCAAAGTGAAAATCAAAAATGTTTCAACAATTCTTATCAATCAAATAATAATCGCATTGTTAATGGCACATCACAAATTCATCATGATGAGCCATTATTTTGTTCAACTACTAGGAAACAACACAATATTGAACCAATAACCGTCACGAATACTCATAGACAGTTAAAAAGAGAAATTATTTCCTTTGATGATAATAGTAGAGATGATCAACCATCTTGTTTTTCACCACCATTCCCCGTTTCACTTAGCAGCATCTTATCATTTCGTGAACAACATCAACAGAATATTAAACCAGATGATAGTTTGTCAAAAGATGAAAACATTCTTTTGACACTAACGGCAAGTAATTCACCGCCCATAAATATCAAAGTTACTAATGAGAATCAAAATATTCTTGATCGACAGATTCGGTAAGCAAATTGCAAAGACTTTTATTGTGATTTTCATCAAAATCTTTGTTAATACGCAGCTCGGAGCTAATTAATAATGAATCACAATTACAGACTCATGAGCTCTCGAAGAACATGTTGAGCAATGAGTCAAAAATTAAACATAATTTTGATATTGTGGGTGACCTACTGGAAGAGTTGGTTAAAAAAATCGAAAATCAAGATCAACGAGAAATATCACAGGCAAATGAAGACAATCTCATCACTTTAGTCAAAGATGGAACTCCTTTAGTTCGTCGTTATATTGTCCAAGTTTGCATTCAAAACAATTACTTGAGATCGTGGTTTAAAAACAAAACAAATAAGTTGAAAAATAAAAATAAACTGCTGATTAATGGAGATCGCAAAGCTCAGTCAACAGTAGAAGACCCTAATTATCAAGTGAGTATCAGTTGTTGTGATAAAGGTACAATTACGCAAACTGGTAAAATAGTTTCAACAACTGAACAAAATTGTGAAAGAGTTATTGTTCGTCAGCTGAATATTCAACAACCTGCTCGACGTCATGTTCGAATTCAAACAATATGTTATCGATTGCATCCAAAGTATTTTTTTTAATATATCTCATAATTTAACTTTACTGACAAATTTTATTTTATCTCCTACACTCTAATGAACGGCTAGAGATATACTATATCTTAAAACCTTGCCACAAAGATAGCATATTTTCTATATTGCCTACTGAGTCTTCTGAGTCAAGCTGAATCAGTTTTCTTTGTTATCTGGAACTGGTCAAATTGCGCAAAAAATATTTCAGACGTGATGGCAATTGTCTTTTTTCTGCAGTTTCTGTCAGACCTAATCAATTCGTGTATTTATTTGTTCGATTTGATCAATTCTAGCATTAGTTTCGGATGGAGTAAAGAAAACTGACTAAACAATCAGCAATATAATTGGTCAATTTTCTGTTTTCTATTAAGATAATTACATTCGCATTACAGTATAGACAATAAAAGTAGTTGAAACAGAAGTACGTAGAATTCCAATATAGAAAGCTTATTAACGTTGTCCTATCGGACAAATATATGAAAACTTTTACCTTTAATTTCTAAGAAAAACGAATAAAAAATAGTAAAAGAAGTGATGACAATGTATAAAGAGATAACAAGTACACTCTAAAAAATGTATCTGTCGTTAAATAGGTCTTATATGTGCCCATAACTAAAACAATCGACGATACTTGAAAGTAGAAATATGTGAATAAAAAAATAATAAGTATTTTTCTTTTAAAGAGTCTACTAATCTGACTTTGAATCCTCTAGGGGGCCACTTAGATTCCGTTAGAGGGAGCATTCTTCTACTTAAAATTCGCTAAAGTTGAAAGTTCTTGTTTCTTAGACAGACAGGCTCAGTTCTATTTGTGCATACACTGGCTTTCATTCAGAAAAAAGCGCTAGAACGAACGATTTTGCGACTATTAAAGCGTTCTTGAATCATACTCCTGTTTTCCAGAAGCCTATATCACTATCGTGAAGGGTATAATCTCAATAAACGTGTTTTGCTAAAGTAAACATTAAATGTTTTAAGACAAATTTGTATTTAAACGAGATTGCTTTTTGCTTATATCTTCATGCTATCCTTTTTTGTTTGGGGAAATGTTTTCAGCTAAATGATCACTAAAATAATCACTTTTTATTTCGTTCTCATTATTACGTTCGAATGTAACGAAAAACACTCCAGAGATTGTTTGTCTTTAAATTAGAAAAAATGTTCGTTTTTAGGGTGTCTTCTCAGTTCGTCTCAAATTGACTTCTCAATTCGTCCCATATTAGTTTACATTTAATTAACTCATATACATATCAATATATCTATATGTGTGCATACATAAATCGGATTTTACTCGATACAGAGTGTATATAAGTATTCACATATCTATCTATATTTATAAATGCTTGTCATACTGGGATTACCGGAGTTTGTATCCGTTTATGCTTAGCTTTGGTTCAAGTATTAAGCATCATTCCAGATGTGAGCGGTAGGGAAGATCTTTTTGTTATAGTATGCAAGTGAGTTACGAGAAAACATTTCACTCTTCCAGGCAGCTGGACTGTTTTCTGCTGATAATAAATATGTATATATATATGAAGACGGATACAGACCCTGTCTTTCAAAATTGTTTGTGATTATTGCGCTATTTTGTTTATAAAACATATTCATTTAGTTGAATCTGCAATATTAAAGTTAATTAAGTGTAAACTAATATGGAACGAATTGAGAAGTCAGTTTGGGACGAACTGAGAGTAAATCTCTCAATTCAAATCGGTATACCGTGTCTGAGTATAAGACTCGACTCAACACTGCAGAATGCGATATTATTATCTAAACAAACCTCATTCTCCTCAACCTATGTTTGCTGAATTTGGCAAAGAAAAGATCACGTGAAAAATTAGATACAGAATGTAATAGGATTATGGTATCCCTCACATTAGTTGGTCAGATTCATCGATCTGGAATGTTATCACCGATTGTGTACATCTTCGGCTAGTCATATCGCCAATTCAGCCTTTGCGAAACGAATACTTGGATATTTTTAAGTTTTTCTAATCTTGCATGCTAACTATCGATGTCACATTTCTATAACCTAACGGATGTGGCATAAATAATGATACCGCCAGCATCTCATCAATATCTTGGTCGTAGAGACTTGAGCTTAATCTCAAAAGATTCTCCATTCAATCCTCTTCAAACTCTTAAGAAAAAAGACGCACAATGCGTAAACGTAAATTCATTGGCTGTCAACACTGCAATGTCTCAAACGGGAGCACTTTCCAGCCCACATTTTCAGAAGATTAATTATGCCTCTAATTCTGTCTAATCAGACGCGAACGCACTCTTTCTCGCAGTAGTCAAAACGACTCCCTTAGACAACACAGTGAGTTTCTTGTGGCGGATTTCCTTGAAAAACGAGTTGGAACCAGGGAGCATTTTCTTTTCACGCACTATGTGTGTCAAAAGAAGACTTGTACGCTAACTGGCTTGGTTAGAAATCATAGAGAAAACATTTTTCTGCACCTTTGCAAAATAAAATTGGCAAGAAAACGTTACACTTTGTGCTAACTGTACAAAATTTACAATGACCCCATTAGCAGGGCATAGAAAACCGAATATGAAATAAAAGGGAAAAGGTCTCGGTCACAAAGGCTTGAAAAGAAAAAACTTATCAGTTGTTTCTCAACTGATAGACCATTGCAAGAGCTACAAAATAGCAGATTTAGTCTTTCTCTATGCGACGAAAAATAAAAACAAAATGTAATATTGGTTGGAAAGTGCTCCAATTTGAGTCATAGCGGTGTTAACAGCCTATGAATTTACGGTTATTTGTTGTGAGTGCCCTTTTCTTAGGGTTTTGTAGAGAATTAAATGAAAAATCTCTTGAGACTACGTTAAAGTCTCTACAATGAAAACTCACCAAGATATTGACGAAATACTAACCGTATCATTATTTATGTCGTACTCGTTATATTCAACTGATTTCAAATTATTATTGTTTGCAACCATTTAATGATCGACTAATAATCTTATTGATTTGTATATGATGGCAACATTTAAATTTTTATTGACTACTGTAACATGTGTTGTAACATCACCCTGTGTGTCCCTCAAGGAAGTATCTTAGATTTTATTCGTTTCATTTTCATTAATGATCCTTTTTGTGGACTATGTTCTTTGTGCAACGTCTCACGATAACGGAATTTATCTGCTACTCAAACTTGTGTGAATATAATGTTGTCGCCATTCAAGAGAACCCTTGCACGTTTAACCAGGTCGCGATACACTCCCCTCGAAAAATGAAACTCTTCTTCCTGATCATAAAGATCTTACTGGAACATGTATCAAGTTTAAAACCACTTGATATACGTCTCTGTCGAAACTTACTTTGGCTAGACATAAAACCGTTTTGTAATGAAGGAAGATGTTTGGTTTAGTTGGTTGAACTTTTGACCGATCTTCCCCCTCTTTTCATCATCATCTTTACAACGTTTATATCACTTTGTATTCAAGTGTGGTTGTATTCTGAAGAATAGAACATTCAAATCTTATCTGTTCGCTTCGGATAGTTTCTAACGTTTCATTGCTCGTATCATTCCAGAGAACTGGTCGTCAGATTCTTCCTGATGAATCAGTTTAACATTGATCCAACTGCCAACAGATGAAAATTTTTCAAATTTATCCATTCACATCGTTCAGACCAGTTACTTCTTCTCTCTTAAGAGAAAATTGTCAAAAATGATGTATTTGTTCTATTAGTTATTGTTGCTCTCTATTTGTTTGTTTATCTGCTGTTTATTTTCTGTTTTCTTTTTTTTCTACTACTTGCTTTTTTTCTTTATTGAACAGTCTTATATTTAAAAAAGTGAAATTCATATGATTTTGCTTGTTTTATTATTTTCCACACATTTTTCATCATGTCAAAATAAAATGAAACACAAGGTTATCAAATTGGTAAACAATGTTTACAAATCCTGAAGCAAATCTTAAGAACTATTTGTCCGAAATAGTTCCTCTTTCTTCCTTCATTTACTTACTAAAAACTTACATTACCTTCGACTATGTTTTGATCGAATTAAATAAAAGTTACAACTATCTTTTTTCAAATTTATATTGATCTTTTCTGTGCTATTTGTTTATCTTTGTTTTTTTTTCCACTCATGAACACACACATACATACATACACACACACACACACACACACACACATATTATAATTAGAGTTGACAAGAAAAACACTTTTTTTTAATATTACAAATAATAAACGAGAAAAAAATTCGGAGTTTGCACATAGATCAATTAAACACAAAAGAAAAATAATTACAATACGTCACTGTTTTGAAGAGAAGAGAAAGAGATGCAGAAAAAACTTCTTTTTTTTATATTCGATGTATATCAAATACTCATTTAACAATATATAAATAATTTCAATAAGAAAAAGAGTCAACAAAAGTATTTATTCGTGTGATATCAGTGTAACATTACTGTTTGCATTTGATAAACTAGTATCATTTCTAGATGATGTTCGAGAAAGTGAAGATGTATGTTGTGTCTGTAACTGTTGTTGTTCATAAAGAAAATTTGACGATGTTGTGGGAGTTTTACGACGTGATTGATGTTGTGATTGACTAAAATGACACATGATACACATAGACAGAATTATTTATAAGGCAAAACAAAAATATTATCTGTATAACTCTCGTAAACTAATAGTAAAAAGTTAGTAATCAATCGTTCTAAAATAATTGTTTCTTGTTAGCTATCTAAAAACAAATATAATAAATTCTATTGTTTGTATTACTTTAATTTACCTTTGACTTGTTATTTTTGTTTTATCGATATTGTCTTTTAACTTTTCTTGATAAATTCCTTTCCATCGTTGTGCTAATAATTGATAAAGCATATCTAATGTATCTATATCCGACTTTAAATCATTTTTATTATTATCTTGTGGTGATAATTGTGTAGTAGTTGTCACTATTAAATTATTTACATTATCTACTGTCGTCGATGAACTCGTACCATTTATGTGAAAAGTAAATAGAAATGTTAGAAAATGTAGAAATAAACTGTTCAAATGTGGATGTAAATGTATCGATATGCAATCACGATAATGAGATGAATATAAATGAGCAACACAATGAAATAAATAACGAACTATTTTACGAACATGTACATCAAAACTAATGGGAAATAATTGATCTAAAACAGAAATAAAATAAAAAAATAAAATAAAATAAAATAATCTACTCATATTTTTAATTATTCATTTTAACATACCCAATCTTGTTGGAAAAATTGTTTCATCATTCAGTTGTCTTTGTATATACATCATAGCATAATCAATATATTCTGGTGCTGAACATTTAACTTTTCTACCACGTTCATCATACCAATAATACTGACTATAATTAGTTATAGATAAGTAAAGAAAAAAGTTTTCATTAAATTGTACAAAAGAGATAACTAACCTGTTTTGTGGTCCAGTCATTGTTGGACATATGGATTGAGTACAATAATCAGACATTGCACCATACAATAAATTAACATGATTAAAAAATGAGACAACTAAAATAAAATATAAATAAAACAAAAAATTTATTTATATTTTTTATAAAGAACAGAATAAATAAATTATTAAATTTTTCATTTTTTTTTCATCATCTATTTCTTTATAATTAACTCGTCTTCCCTCTCCTTCTCAAAAAAAAGATGTGAATTTTCAAAGACAATTAGTTTTCTGCGGTGTGCGTTATTTCACACTCTAACTTACTATTGGATGCAATCCATTCATTTTTATCTACACCAGCTGGTTGTCGAATTAATTCAGTAATATTTGATTCTGATACTGCTCGAGTAAATATGGCATCTTCTGGACGTAAATATGGTAATAAATGTTGACTATTTGTAGATGAATTATGATTTGATGCCGAGGCTGTAGAACCATCACTATCATCTCCTCCAATCGGTGGTGAAGACTCTTTTGCGTCTTTTCGACGCGTTTTCCTAGAATCAATACAAAAAAATTAGTTTAATATATAAAATGTGTAATATAGAGAAGAAAAAAAATTTAATTTTTTACGCAATAATTGAACCAATATGTGTGGATAAAGCAGCGCGCATTATAAATCTCGTTTTATGTTTAATAATGATACATGCAATCCTTATCTCGAATTTTTATTGTTCAAGTCATGGTCGATTGATTATATACGCATAGATGAGAAATATATTTCCTGTTCAACATGCTAATAAAAGAATGAAAGACTGAAGAGAAAAAAAAATCTATAATAGTTTATTCAATTGATTACAATAAACATACACTAACTGGTCAAACTGAACAACTAATTGAATTGAAGAAATTATGTCAACAAACAAAGAAGAAAGCTTATACATAATCAATTTTCTTGCTAGTAATATTTTATAAACGATTTTCAATGCTTTAGTCAACACATTTTTTCACCATGCTTATCTCTCCTTCGAAAAACGTTTTTTTTAAGTTTTTATCAACGACGTATTGATACGAATTTTACGTCTATTTTGAGATATCTCAGGATAAAAATAAAACTATTTATTGTTCTAACTATAGTTTTTTGAAAACTAGAATAATAAATTATCGTTATTAAATGGTTTTCGAGACTAAAATGCAATGTCAAAATGCCTCTTTTACATTTCATTTTCTTGTATTCATTGTTAAAACGAACTGTAGTGACACAAAACATATGTATAAATAAGTGTCCAGCTTATCTGTGTGAAATATGTAAACATATGCATACAAATAAACCCTTCAGATGGCAAATTGTGACATAAAATCATCATCTAGATGTTTCGCTTCAATAACTATTTTATTCAATGATTAAACACTAACCTCCATAATATTGACAGTATCGATGTTATTGTTCCTGAACTACTACTACTACTCCTACTACCGGAAGACGTAACAATACTAAATGAAACCATATTTTTCGAATTTAGTAAAGAATATGTAACACTTCCGATTAAAAACTCCCCGTGTATATACGGATAATGTGCAAAACACAAAAGTATCAAAATAAAAGAATAAATTAACCACCACTTGCATTCACATGGCGTAATCTTTCACCTGTGTAATGACTAATACTCAACTATATAGAAAATAATGTAAGAATACAGGGTAATACTAATATGAAAAACAACTCCATCTCTAATATGTATGTGACGAATAAGTTAAAGACGCACACAAAAATTCTCCATCATTATAGACTAATATTTTAGTAAACACACTACAAGCAAAAAAAACACGCTCATAAAAATTAATCTAACTGAAGTAATATCTGATGATCATTCTCAACCAGTAATAATAATGAAACAGATGAACATCAAAACCTTACAATGTAATTTTTCTATTATAAAAACTTCTCAATATACATTTACAGCAAATGATACAGTTTATTAATTGGTTGCAATGTCGCTCTTTCTCTTTAAAATTAACTTTGTATCTTAGTCAAAACAGCCGAACAAAATATTTATAAAATTTTCTTTCATAAAACAAAGTCTGCCTTTTCTTCTAATTCGTAAATACACACTTCATCTATTCCAACCATCTTATCTTCACCTTCATCATTATCGCAATAATTTCGTACACCAACAACAACAAAAGAATAATCAAAAATGGAATTAATTTGAAAAAATACAAGGTAATAAAGTCAAATGCAATATTGATAAATCTTTTACTTCATTTATGGCAAATAGATTTAAAGGTGGTGTTATCTGCAAAATAAACTTTTTTTTAGTGTTGCAGAAATGTTTTTACAGTCATTGGGGAAAGAATGGTCCCAACATAATGTTCTTGCACAGCTCAAACTGACTGAGAAAAAAATTGTTTGCTAGACAAATTTATTTTTCAGATTTTACTCTTTCAAATAAAAAAATTCAAGTCGATCGTACGTTTCTCATCATTGAGAAATAAGTCTTGACAATTAGGTTGAGTAAATTGTCACTATGATTCTTTCATTCAACAGTTTTGTCTAAAGTTTTCGTTCTATCCTAAATAGGATGTGCAAAAAATTTCAATTTTGTTTTGGTAAAATAAAAATAAATATGAAAATTCAGAGAAATAAAAAGCAAAAAGCTTTTACATTCGAGCAAATGGTATATATTTATTTACTATGAACTATGAAACTACGCAATATTCTACTTTTTAAAAAGACAATTATATGTTAGACTATAGTAAGTACATTTGCGTTTTTTTTTGTTTTTTTTTCTATTTTAAAAACTGATAATTATCATCAATGGTTGTCAATTGCTCATTATTTTTATTATGTGACATTCTGGAAGACAGCTGTAGAAATTCTCACTCACATACCATAATGGAAAGACAAACATAATACTCTTCGGTTTTTGTTTGAATAAAAATGTATATATATATATATACTTCGATTTTCAGTGAAATAAACGAGACATATTGGTTTTGCTTTATTCATGATTCCATTATTCAGTAATAAGAGTATATAGTACCCTATATGGCGGAAAAAAAATATTTTAATTTTTTTTAATCATGAGGAACGTATATAAAAAAAGAGAAGAAAAAAAAAATATATATATATATATACGGGCATAAAGAAAGGAAATAATAAATAGATTTATCATTCAGGTGAGAGATCTACTGTAAGGAGGAAGGCTGGTAGAGGAGAGAAAATTTTGAATAATTTCTTCCTATTTTTAGTTTCTTATATATTCCCATATTCCGGAAGTACAAGAAGAAATAATTAAATAATAATAAATCATTACTATTTTTACACAACTCATAGCATACATATGAAATAAGAATAATGTTTTTTCTTTAATGTTTACTACCATAAGCACACATAAAATGGACATATATATAACCTTCTTTTACGATAATATTAAACAAATTCTCTTTTTTCTCTCTAGCGAGCAAACGAGAGAGTAAATAGCGAAAAATGGAGAAGAGACAAGATTGAAAGTGTCTTCTATGTATGTATGTATATCTGATATAGTCTCTTCTCTATGCGCTAATAAATTGTCACGTATTATTTGTTCATCTTATAAACGAAGGTCGTCTGTCCCGTCTATTTTATCGGCAAATTTTTGTTTACTTATAGACTACAGCTGACGTAAATTAATGCGACAATTAGGGATTAAGAGAGAAAAGCCATTTCGTTATCCAAAAGTAAAGTGTGAGAGCCACGTTGTCAAATAGAAGTAGTAGTAGTAATACACTCATAACTATACACGTTTTAGTTAAAAAAATTTACTGTAATTTTTATCTTACGTGTGAGTGAAAGATCACCATGAAAAAGAAAAATTAATGGAAATTATATACTCATTTTGATATAACTTTGAAAAACTAAAATATTACTTAACATGCACAGTATTTCACAAAACTATTTTTTCTATCCTGAAGTTTGAGCATCATGCTAGCTAAACTCATTTCAAATTCTGTGTGAATGTGAATTTCTACTCGTACACTGATCTAATGAAGGTCTTCCTTTCCTGTCCTGATGAGCAGCATTGAGTCGCATAATTAGGTATTCTAAAACTTCCTGACAATGCTTCATCTATACTTTCTGTCACGTATATAGACTTTTATGATATTTTTGTGTAATTATCATGTACATTAATCACAAAAATATAGTAAATTGACTGATCCTAGGTTTGTTAAACTCTTCGCTCTATGTATACTGCACTAGTGTCTACTCATTCTCGATACAATAGTTAATCATTAAATTTGAGATAGACAATCTACATATTGGAAACGAACTGTCTTCTAGTAACCATTAAAACATTAAGGCATTAAATCTAGATTATACATAGAAGAGAGTCATTTTGTTATCAAGATAACGATTCATCTCGCTTGAAATAACAGTTAGGAAAAAAATCAAATTCTCACAATTCACAAAGTAAAAGAGGTTTCCATGTATTCATACTCATGAGTAAGTTTACATCGACACAAAATTTGTGATGATTAGCTATCATGCTTGCTTGAGATCTAAAGGAAAGGATAGTTTTTTAGAACTCAGCATTATGGTGTCTATAAGTTATCATTTTAAGACCAATAGTTAACTATATAAATCATAATCATACGTTTCCGATTATTTTCTACGTCGTTTTTCTGCGTCTAACAAAATAATTTATCTTATTTTTCGTCATCATTACGAAATGAACAAACTGGAAGTTAGGATGTCGGTATTAGCCATTCTTTTCGCTTTGGGGAGTAGTTCTTGGAGAATAGTAATAATAATAATTAGCAGTTGAGAACAAAATTGTCATGATCATACGCTTTTTTTATCGCATAACTCTATATAGTGTTATTTGATGATCATTTTCTATTATCTAACAATTCAAATCAAATTTATTTCTCATGAATCGATGCTCAATTGTAAGGAAGTATAATGATATGTTATATGACAAGTAAAGGGCATTTGGGAAAAAAACTAAATAATAAGCATTGACAAGATTAGATTACTGGATTTCCATTTTTAATGAAAATTTTCAAATGTTTATTTATAAAATCAGCTTTTTATGATCGTTTCATCGGAACATCATATAAAGTATTGTAAACATCACTAATTGCGGCTTTCGCTCCACAATAATACAATAAATGTACGATATATGACTCTCGATATGACCCTGGTGGAATATTTTGAGCTGAATTAAAATGACTTTTACTTAAATTTAATCTCTATTTGACTAAATTTTAATTTTTCTTTTCTTTAACCACAGTCTAGTGAGGAAATCCAGAGATGTACACACGTGTTTTTTTTAATTTCCGAATCCATTGGAAACCTATATGCTATGATCTCACATGTCATTAATGGGAAAACGAATATATTACACCCTCATCTTCAGTTAAATTATAGAAGAAACGTTGATTTTATTAACGTATCATTTTGAATTGATCTACTATTAAAACAAATAGTATTATGTTAAATGTACTTACGAATACGTTGATGTGAATATGAATGATAAACTCAATATTCCCATTATTTCACTTGTATGTATTGTGTCGAGTTAAAGATTATTGCTTTTTTGGAAGTCTATATATACAAACAACAAAACCGAAAAATGATTTTATTTTTTGTCACGCGAGAAAAAACGTGTTTTTCTACTTTTTAGAAAAATAATAATGATAATGAATAGAACTGCGACAAATAGCGATTTCCTTTTTTTTCTTTTGTTTCTTTTTCCGTTATATAACGTTGTGAAGAAAAGAATACACGCTTATTTTCAACGAGAAATCGAAAACAACAGAAAAGAACACAACAGAGTGATGTTTATATGGATGATCTTCATTCAATGTTTCGCTCATAACCAGGTTTCTCGATCAGGGAAAGGGGCTGGCACCTTCCTAAAGAAGGTTTTGGACTTTCCGGCAGAATCGTGGACGTTTTTCCACAAGCAACTTTCTGACAAATTACGAAAACGTTTTTTTGCCAGCTATTTTCTGCGTAGCAGAATTTTTAGTCCCTCCCATTCGTAAGAGCAATCGGAAACCCGGCTCATAACTGAGTCATTTTTCTGGACCAAATTGAAAAATCTTCTTACTATTAGATTCGTTAGACTTTCTTCTATTCAGGCATATAAAAAAATATGCGATTTTCATACGAGACAGTGAAAAAGATTCGATAAAAGTCAATTTTTTGTAGATATCTACGCTTTCGGGATGTATAGAAGGTGCATTTCTCTGCATAGGCACTTGATATCGTTTTGGTCTTCACTTAACTCTTTCCAGCCTGACATTGTCATTTGGTAACATTTTCTGCTACGTTTCACAAACAGCCGATTAGAAAGGCTTTAGAATCATTGCGCAGCAAGAGCAACCTGCTATACTCAATCAATGTTTGAATTTTTGGCTCAAACTTTTTGGGGTGGATATAAGCAACAAAGTTCAGCTGGCAAAGTTCTCAGAATTTTTGCTCGAAGGTAGCTTCAGTCAAGAACATCGATGGTGTACACACTTTTCGCCTAATCTCTTTTATGAGAAGAAGGAATATGTTTGGTTAAAACTGACCTCACTAACAAAATACATGTTTTCCTACTAGAATTTATAACTTCGATCTGAAAAAAGTCGTTTAAGTCCTTTTTACGAGCAACAGTGCTCTACTAAATGTATGGTGTTCTAGTACTATCACTTCTGAATAAAGAGTTTATCAAAAACTTTTATTTTTGAAGTGCCTCATTTGTAATTTCTAGTAAAAAAATGTTTTCGAGAAACTTCTAAAACACATTATTCGATGTGCTTTTTCGTCTACATGATCATAAATATAACATTTTTCCTTCGTATGTTGGTTGATATGCAAAAAGCTGCATATTATCCCGGTCGGTTTGTGAAGCGTATTTTTTGATTTTCTGACTGTTCGCGTTAATCCAACTAGGATCGCGATCAGAAATGCAGGTTAGCGATAAAGAGTCTAATTGGTGCGGTATAGGCTTGACTATGCTGACTTGTATAACAAACACTTTCGAACATGAATATCAAAGTCCAAAAAATTTCACCTTCATCTTTAACTTTATCTAAGGTGTTTTTAAAAGTATAAATTCGTAGTATAGGTCGCTCTTGATTGATAGGCCGCGCAATGATTGATTCTAAAGCCTTTCTAATCGGCTGTTTGTGAAACGTAGCAGAAAATGTTACCAAATGACAATGTCAGGCTGGAAAGAGTTAAGTGAAGACCAAAACGATATCAAGTGCCTATGCAGAGAAATGCACCTTCTATACATCCCGAAAGCGTAGATATCTACAAAAAATTGACTTTTATCGAATCTTTTTCACTGTCTCGTATGAAAATCGCATATTTTTTTATATGCCTGAATAGAAGAAAGTCTAACGAATCTAATAGTAAGAAGATTTTTCAATTTGGTCCAGAAAAATGACTCAGTTATGAGCGAAACATTGAATGAAGATCATCCATATAGACATCACTCTGTTGTGTTCTTTTCTGTTGTTTTCGTTTTCTCGTTGAAAGTAAGCGTGTATTCTTTTCTTTACAACACTATATAACGGAATACGAAACAAAAGAAAAAAGAAAATTGGTATTTGTCGCAGTATCTCCTATTACGCGTTTTTTTTATTACTTCTACTTCGACAAAAAAAAAGAGAGTCAGCTGAGAACATCATCATTTCACTGGTTGAAAAATATAGATACTAATATCAAGACATAGACTATAGAAATATAACAACGACAAAAGAATGAAAAAAAAGAATGATATTTTTTTTTGTTCATTTACAGCAGAAAACAAAACAAACTTAAAGCAAGCACGCGCTAATTAGAATTTAATGTTATAAAAACGTTCAAAACTGCTCAGGATCATGCTACAGAAATTGAAAATAGACGTGTTTCACAGAAACTCATGTTGAAAAACTATATGCTATGATCTCATATATCATTACTGGAAAAATGAGTATATTGCATTCTCATCTTCAATTTAATTATAGTAGAAACGTTAATTTGGTTAATGTATCGAGGAACATACAGCAGAATCGGTCAAAGTGGACATTTTTTGGATAGATAGATTGTGTCTGAATATCACCATTGCAGCAAAAAGACAAGTTCAAAAACAAAAAAAAACGGCGCTCATGGCGTTTCGAGTCAAATATTCAATTTTAAAGTAGGACTGCTTTCGTAAATCAGCGGACACCAACGAAAATTAAATTTGAGTTTCTCGAATTACATAACGTCGAATGGTATGCTTTAAAAATACTCATCAGAGCAGCTTCTCTGATGCTAAAAGACGAACCTCGTCACGACTGTTATAAGCGGAAGAATCTTCCATTCGCTGTTAAGAGCCTACCTTCTTACAATTTTTTTCTGTTTGTCCCTAAGCGCTTCAGTGCAATAGAGAAGTCATGCGACAAAATGAAATATTTAACAAAAATAGTCACTTTTAAGACCATCAGAGCTGAATAAGTCAAAAGTGATTTTACCTCCGTCGCTATCCAATGCTACTCTCACTCTAAATTAATTTCTTATTTCTGTAGCTTTGAGCTGACAATGAACATTTAGGGTTTTTCTTGTAAATTCTCTTACTTTGCAAAGAAAGGTTGTGTAAAGCTGGGGGATGTTTCATTTTAACCAGAAATTTGCGGGCTACAATGATGCCTCATTAAGAAAAGTTCTGGTTATATTCTAGAGTTTCTGAAAAACTAGTTTTCTAGAAAACCGGGTCTTTGAAGGACTAAGAGCCACCCCCATGATCATATTCGTAATCAGCATGGTCGATAACCTATAATCCACTAGATTCCGAACATAAAGCGTTTTATCACCTCGAGAGGTTCTCTCGTCAGTAGTGCAATTTTAGGAAAATTTGAAACGTCAGCAATATTTGTTTCATCTTGCAAGGATCAAGCGTTTGACCAAAAATATATCTTTTTAAAGAGTATCAGTACTCGACTGTCGGTATTCATGTGCGATTTAGAGACAGTTGAAATTAAATACTGTAAGATGGTTTTAAGCGCACATTTCAAAAACAACATGTAACACTTTGCCAACTCTCAAACTGAACTATTTGAGTATTTATACTTGTTTTGGAGTCACGTTAAAGAGATGCAGTCAAAAACTCAAAACGTTTGCGTAAAAAACGCTGCGTGAGCATCTAGAGATCATTTTTAAAGATAAACTTGAACAACTTGAAAGTGATTAAACAAAGTAGACACGAATAATAATAGTTATTATAAAACTAATGGGATACACACGACAAAATATGACTTTGAAGAACGTTTTTTCTTGTAAAATAAAACCGAAAATATGATAAGCAGTTTCCCGCGATAAAAAAGATAAACTCTTTTATCAATATTATAATCAAACGAAATAAAACTTGAATAACTTTATTACATTATAAATTTATTTTCAAGATTTTAACACGAATCTAATCAATAATATCAATAATTTTACAGAGTCCATATCTATAAGAACAATTAAATAAAGATTTTACTCATCATATAATCTATACTCGTATTTTTAGTTCTTCATCCACTTCGATGTTCAGTAGAGACCGTTACGTTAACCACAAAACATATGAACATAACACGATAAACATTAGTGACGTCAGATACGTTTTTACCATAGTCTAATCAAAGAAATTAGTTAAATATAACAGCCTACAATCATTTTCTTTCGCTCAAATGTATCATAGAAATGATGAATCACTCTAAACAAGATTTCAAACTAACTCTGTTCATTCTGTGTTTAGAATGATGAAAACATAAATAATCAGAAGGCTATATGACGCTTAAAATTACTATTTTTTTTGTAAAGATCACGAAATAATTGAAATTATATGTTACATCTTGCATTTTTCTCGTTCATAATCTGTAGAAGATCATATTGATCTTAATATCAATAAATAAATATATACCTTCGAAATTCATATAGTACAATATGTCACTAGTTACATATATTGACAAAATAAAATGAGAATGTCTATTTATTTCAAGAACATATATTTCAACAACTTCGATATCTATCTCACATTTTATTCAGATTTCCTGATATTATAAAACATTTTTTGAAACAAGAATAAAAAATTGCAGACATTAATTTTGACTCCATTTGTTGATCTATTAGTTCACTTCAAAATAACTGCTATATTTACTTTTTAGACAATCGAGAAAAGCACTGATTACTTGCACTCTCTTAAAAAAAAAAAACGTTTTCTTTTATCATTATGATAAAAAAAAAAGAGATTAATTTGCAAATTTTTATTTGAACAGATCATATAAAACTGTTTTAAACATAAGTTTCTTATGACAATAGTTGTATATAAAGAACTAATTAATAGTATCGATTGTTTAGTTACTATTTATATTAAATTGACCTTGATACTATAGCAATAATACTATTGAGTTGATTTTTTGACACAGTATCATCGATAACACACACATCTTTAACTAATAATTATTTACGCACTATCTACCTTCTTTCTTTGACAATACATTATAAACTAACAAAAACTCTATTTGATTGAGTGGAATAACGACAAGGTTAATATTAATAAGATTAAAACATACTAATATACAATGACAGCAAGGACGTAAAGGATAGAAGGTTATATATACACATCTATAAACGAATTAGATGACGCGTCAAGATTATGCAATAATAAAAAAAACTTTATCTTCGTTAGGGGACAATACTATTATTGTACTAATCAAATAGATTATTACAAGATACATAAATTTGTACTTGAAAATATCTCTATAATATAATAATAATGAATTTCTAAAAAAGTATAATAAAGTAGTGTCATATTTTTGTTACTTTCTTTTTGATTTTTTATATTTTAATATCGTATCTAATGGCTCCAAACAAGTTCGAGACTACCGCAATTTTAACTAGTCGTGTTAACGATGGTATTCTATTACATGATGTTTATTTATGTCCAATTTGTCAAAATATTCTTTGGAAACCAGTTGCCTGTAAAACATGTGAAAATTCATTTTGTTCAAAATGTATTACATCTTGGCTATCTAAAGGTCGAGGATTATGCCCATTTAAATGCACCTATCGTGAACGAAAGTGTCCATCGATATTGTTAAGTTTATTGTCAAAATTAGAAGTAGACTGTCGATATAAATCGAATGGATGTTCAAAAATAATGTACTATGAATTATTAGAGGAACATGAAGATGAATGTCAGTATCAAATGAAACAATGTAAAGGATGTGAACAAAGTATATTACTTAAAGATCTTGTTAACCATGAAGATGAATGTGGTATGGTTGATGTTATCTGTTATAAATGCCAAACTATTTATAAACAAAAGGAAATGAAATATCATGATCAGATCAAATGTTTAGAAAATGCAATGGAACGAAAAATGAGTGATGCATTAAAACAACAACAAAAAATGTTTGACGAAAGACTAAGATTATTGGAAGAAAACTATAAGAAAAAATCACAATATGAACGAATAGAAAGTAATTATTCAAATAAGAATAATAATAATTCTTCTATACACAGTCTGGAACAAAATTCGACAATTCAAGCAAAATATGCCACAATTAGAGGATCAAAACGGAGGAATACTGTTTTTAATCCAAACATTTTTTACAATTAACTTCTCTTGTGTTAATATTGATATAAACAACAGTATAGAAATTATCATTGCGTTCACAACTATTCTTATTTTAACTTTGTTCAATCTCAATTTTAACTCTCATCTGTATTTCAACTGAATTTTATCGCTTACCCAATGAACCAGTCGGTAATATAATCCAGTTTTGATGTTGATAATAAATTCGATACTGTATTGATTTTAATGATTAGATAAAACGAATAGTAACAAAATGTATGTTGTTGTTTGATTAATAATGATAAATACAAATAGATCATAACAAACACATTCACATGGGACACACGCAAAGAATAAATAAGACAAAAATTAACAAAAAATAGAGAAGTTCGATGTTGAATAAAGGACGAATGAGATAAACAAAATCAACATCTGAAAATAAATAAACAGAGTTATATTAAAAATTTAGAATAATGAGTTATGCTACAACAGAGAAGAAAAGTGATAAATAGTTTAACATCCATCGTTTCGTGATTAATCACAATAAATGTGAACACATTTCAATGTTTTTGTTCTTTTCCGGATACTGTTTATTTGTTGATATCAAGTTTACTTTCATCAATGAAATCGAACAGAAGAAAAAAAATTTTTTTTACAAAGAAGAACTGCACTAGGACTAGAGATTTTAACCTTGTTATCGACTTTAGCATCGACGTATCTATTTTAACTTACCGTCGGCTCTGATGAAATTTTTCTTTCACTACGCCGTTCAAGTTCAGATTAGCTAACATCTCAAGGTATAACATATATTCATCTCTCTTTATTTACAAATCAAATTCCTAAGATTTTCTTTTTCCAGTAAACAGAACAGAAATAGAAACGTTAAACAAACAGTAAACGTAGCATTTAATCGTCATCATCTTCTTGATGTTGATTAATTCTTGATGTTGTTGATATAATTTCGGCAAAATCCACCGCTCCATGTGAACCTTTCTGTTCAATTAATAATCGTTGACGAGTTAATTCAGCTATTGCACGTGTTGTGCGTTTTTCTAAACGTTTTAGCTTCTTCTCAACATCACGTTTTAAATCCCAATCTGGTTTACGTGGAGCTAATGTCGTCAAATCAACATCATCAATAGGAGGAGGACCATTCGTCTCTCCTGAGCCAACATCTTCAATCTAAATAAAGAGTAGGTAAGTATCACTGGAATTTTCTGTCGTTAAGCAGAGAATGTATAAAGTATACACAGTTTGAAGAAGAGTTTTCCATATAGAAATATCACAGATGGACGACTACACAGTAATCCAATTATTAAAAAGCTGAACTCAAGAAAATTTGCATGGTTTCTAAGATCTGAAAGTCAGATCCTGTATTTTGCCCCTACTTTTGTCTTTTTATTCATATAAACATGAGACTGTATCAGAAAATTAACTTTTCCCTTCTCATATAACAGTTACTCTGAGCAGACCAATATTAGAGCTTTTTGAGCACACCGATATTTGCGGCTATATCAAGAAAACACTAAAAATCGATTACTAGCATATTCTTTCGACTAATCATTAAAAAAATAAAGGACAGGTATCACAAATCTTTACTCAAGTTCAGGTATTACGCGTATTTTTCATTTCTGATGATTTTCAAATGTATAATATTTATTGGATACATCAAAAGTATAGCTACAGATTTCTCCGGTAAAAGAAATGGATCTTCTTCAAACTGTATTGATCAGTTTTCGCAATTTTTAGATTGCTCTTCGTAATTCCTCTATTCTCCTTTAGATACACCTCGACGTAGCATTTTTCCTCACCATAGGTTTAATATCGATTAATTTTGGTTTGGGTAATAGAATAGCATTTAAGTCTTTGCTAATTGGTTTATAATTTCGAAATATAGGTTTTGGAAATTCCATCGGTTCATTGTCCTCTTCGTCATCTTTCTTCTCTTCACCGTCACTATCATCGTTCTTCTTTCGTTTTAAAATTTTCTTATTTTTCCATTGTTCTAAACGTTCTTTACGTTTGCGTGCTTCGTCTTGCAATTGACTCGATTCAATATCGGGTAATATCATCTAGAAAACACCAATTAGTTGAATTTGTATGTGTCGGAGATTCAAGAAACGTAAGACTAAGCCTAGTTTATTCACGTATTGTGAGAGTCCCCAAAGATCATCGACCTAAAATGATAATGACTCAAACCGAATAGTAGAAACACAGTAACAGTCATGGAAGAAAGAGAGCAGAGGTGGCGGAATCATGGGGATCGTGAGTGCCTTAGCACTCAAAGATTTTGAAAATTGTCGTTTTCTTCTAGCAGAAACTTATTTTTTCTTTGCGTTCTTGGCCTTGAGCACTCATAGTTTCAACATGATTCCGCCGCCTCTGAAAGAGAGAAAGAACCAGGTTAAAATAAATAAGTAAAATGAAAAACAAGATAAACTAGATTAAATTAGAACGAAAGAAAAGAAAAAGTAAATAAATACTATCACAGTGGAATATTGCAAATGGCTGCTAAATTTATGATACAAGATACTGAGATAGGGCATTTTTGAAAGACAATCATGAAGTAGAATAAATTACTGATTCTGTTTGTTGAAGTTTGTTCCAGTCAGTGATAATAGAATGAAAAAAAGAATTTGCTTGAGGAGAGGAACCAGTAACAGGAGGTGATATACGGACAGACTTGGAGGGATAAAGACGTAAAGAAGAATCATACGGTGATAAAAAATAGAAAGAGAGCTCATATGATGATAAATTTTAAAAAAACTGTACAAGCCTAAATACGTCCGACGAAGAGAGATATTTGGAAGACAAAGTTGTGACACAAGTAAAGAGTTAGAGAAACGATAGTCACAATTGTGAGAAATAATACGAGCAGCAAGCTTATTTACAGAGTCAAGAATAGAAGGACAAAACGAACCATAATACAAACATAACAATAGTCAAGTTTAGAAAAAATAGAGGCAAGAAAGATTCGCTGCCCAACTTCAGACGGAGCTAATCCAAAAAAAACACGACTCAGTGCTCTAAACAGTGTTTTTGATAGGAATTTTAAGCAAAGTGGGTTTCCACAGTTTATCACTGCATTTTCCATGTTTTCCCTGTTAAAAACAAAGTGGAAATCGAATTTTCAAAGTGGAAACCCATTTTGTTCAAGCGAGACCCACTAATCATTAAAAACACTGGCTCTAAACTTGCGCCGACAACGTTGAAAACTGTTTAACATTTAGATGTAATTCACTCTTTGTCACGGTCCTAATACGGCATTCTTTCTCTAATGATGAAAAACACGTTTACAAAATATTATACATTAACAACACAACAAGAACAAAAGAAAAATGTGATGAAAACAGACAAAACGGATCTAAAATATCAGCTGAGTTCATCTTTGAATGTAGTTGGCTGTGTTGATTATCCAATTGATATCGGATATTCATAGAATATTCAAGCAAAATGCTTGGAGGAAGTTTAAGCTAGGAGTGTAAACCAGCTCAAATCTAACGCAGTTAATTTTATGAAATCTTCTTTTTTAGAAGACATTTAATATAGAGGTATCGACTAGCAATAAGAAAAGAGAAGACTATGATGGCAAACAACGTCGGCACACTCTGTTTGAATTCAGATAAAGTAATAAAACAATTAAGTTATTTATAAAGCAGTTACTGCACACACACCACAGTAGGGATCTGGTATTCCTGTCTTCTCTTAGCTCATGCGCCCGAATTAAAAATCTCCACTAGCAAATATCTATAAAAACGCCCTACTAATCGATTCTTTTATAAGAAGCAGCTAAGATTCGAATATGGTTTAGATAATTATGTACCAAGAGTCTTATCAGTTTTTCACAAGATCCTTATATAAGAAGTTCACACGAAAGTGGCAAGAATTCTATAAGAGGCTTGTAAAAGTTATTTAAGACTGTAATAAGAAGTCGGTTAGAAGTAATAAAATTCTTATCACTTTCTTACTAAATCCATAACAAAAGCTACCTGATATTTTTCTTATGGGCTGAAAGGTATTTATAAAGTTCTGGAAAATCATTCTGACTCAATTTTAAAGCGAAGTTTTAGAAAAAATTCGATTAACCTGTGAAGAGTTCGAACTTGCGTCTTATAGTATGCCATGTTCTCCCCTCTAATCAACTGGACTACATCTTCACAATTTATGATGAGTTGATTCTGGATGCTATTCCGAAAAAAGATTGTTTCTGACAAGAAAATACAAGGGAAAGTTTATGTTCTTTTTTATCCTTTGTTAAGTTATCGTGCAAAGTCGAACAACAGGAGAAATAAGAGTAAACAGAGCCATTTCTTATTCCTGTGACAGGAAAAGAAAATACTGTACTCAGCTGAATTTTCTATTAAAGTTATTAAGTATTTTTCATCAATAAATTTTTTATTTAAGCTTTTCACTACAAAAATTCTTCTTTCATTCTTCTCGATACTCTTTCTATTTTAAGTAAGTCACTGGTTCTCAGCTATCCTGAATCATATAGATTTGATAGAAAGATGATCTGAAAGTAGAGCAGTTATAGATGACACATCTGATGTTACTTTTTCAATTTATGTTTTAATCATTATGTGATTAGTCCCATAAAATGAATTATAAAACTTAGTCGTTTTCTCTATGACATAATTAATAGTCACGTAATACTTAATAATAAATATAGACTACAGAAAATATTCTAAGAAAAAATTTTTGACTAGAGTAAATTTGGTTTTTAGATTAGAAAAAATGTCTGAAGATCCAAGAGCTAGTACGGCAGTATCTGGTGTGGGTGGTGATCTACCTGATGAGAGTCCTGGGGCTAATTTTCAAGTATTTGTTGATATGCAAAATTTGTATAATAAATTGAAATTGTTAAATTATGATGATGAATATGTATTAAAATGGAGAATGAAACCTATATCAAAGTTAGTAAGAGAAAAAGTTTTATATTTATATTTTAATTTATTTTTCTATTAGAATTCATTTCGCCATACAAACAAATGCCGGCGATCAATTACACTCGTTTATAGCTCTTGCATCATGGTTATTTCAAAAAGCTGGATTCAAATATGACAAACCAAGTGAAGTGTGTAGCGTGCCTGCGTTTATCATCACCTTGTTCAAATGTCTTTATATTGTTTTTAGGATGATGATCAAAGTGTACTATTACAAAACATTATTGGACAATTTAGAAAAATGGTGCGATGTTCCACCTAGTTTTTTTAAAACCATCTTAGCAATTTTTCGTTTGTTTTAGGGCTATGAAATTAGCTTTGGTGCAAATAAATTACGTTCGGGCAGTGGTGAATCAGTTATTTATATTTTGAATAGACTGGCGGACGAAGCAATGAAAAAAGCAAATTTCACATGGAGACAGTAAGTACTAAGAACTGTTTAAACTCGAGTAGTTCATTAAATGGCCATTATAGGCCAGAAAAACCAGAAGAATTACCCGATGATGATCAACCAAAAGACGAAGAAAATGAAATTGATGTGAACAAAATTGATGAGGAAATGTTTAATAAAGTATGTAGATTTTTAAATCTAAAGGTACATAGATTAAGTTTTACACTAGCTTTAAAAAATGAGAAAAAATTCACTTTTTTTTTTGGATTAGAGCAAAAAAGTTCAAGTTTCAGATAAGATTTTGCAGACAAATTGCTCTAACGTTCTTTTGCCATTTATTTCTTAAAAAACCGTCAGAAATTGTTTTTTTTAGTAGTGTTCTTCAGTCAAACTATGTCTATATGTGTTCCTTCGCTTTCAAAAAGTCTTCACTTATTCATAATTTCTTGGTGTATAAATAATAATAATTTTTCTAGAAAAATATTTGATTTTAAGACGCTTCAAAGTAGCTCGGATGTTCGACGTCCTGTCATATCTTTTTCTTTTTAGGATGCTGATAATGATGAATATGAAGAAGATGAACCAGTTTTAAATATGGAAGCATTGACAAAACTTGGATTAAGATCAGGAGTAAGTTAATATATCGGTATTTATATGTTGAGGACTGATATCGTGTTGTTTCAAAATACTGTGACTGTTCTCCTAAACATTGAAATGATACTTTCCTTTACTTTCTTTAATGAAGAATAGATGAATATTTTTCGTCTTTGTTCACAATTATTTATTTTCTCTTTATTAGGTTGAACCTGAAGTTCGTCCCGAGTTAATAATGGAATCGACAACAGATGCAACAGAATGGAAGCTAGAAGTCGAAAGAGTATTACCACAATTAAAAGTCACATTTAAAGCAGAAAATAAAGTATTGACAAACAGTTATACTATTATTTTTAAAATCAAGTTTTCACATATGTCTAGCAAAATATAATAATATTAAATAGTAGAAGTACTAAAGATTTTAAGTTGTGTAGATTAACTTCAATTTTTTTGCTCCACATCCTAACGTTCTCTGTAAGTGAGTCATTAAGCTGCGCATATGAAGATTTTATTTGTCTTGTAGAGTGTGTTTTTAACAGATAATATGTGAAAACCCTATATATATATATATATATATATATACTTCTATGTATGAAATATTCATATACTACAATGAAGTAGATTTTATTCTAAATCTATGTGATTATTGTCAATACTTTATCTTTAATTTTGAGGATTGGCGAGCTCGTCAAGAACAACGTCTGCAACATAAAAATCAAATTCAAACTTCTCTCAAAGATGCTGAACTCATGTTAACTCGTTTCCATTCGGACATTACGAAATCTTTAGAAAAAATCATTACTCGTGAACAGTATATTAATACAAATATGCAAGAATATTTTCAAGATTTTCATCATCAACAAGATATTCTAACACAAGCGAAATTACACTATAGACAATGTTCAAGTGGTATTACTGAAAAATCACAAGAATTACAAAATGTTAGTAGAATTTCATTTAACCAAGTTTCCATCAGATAAAGTGAAAGAAAAAATTTTTTTTTTGTAAAAGACATGTTTTATATCCATGTGCTTTTCTTTTTTTAGTTGATGTCGGATTTAAGTCGAATTCGTGAAGAGATGGAAGAAACTGGACAGAACGTAACTGATGGAGGTATTCTTGTGTTTGTTTCTATATACGACTACAAAAGTGTATTCTCATATTGTATTATTCAGGTCCGTTGGTAAAAATTAAGAAAGCTATCGAAGATATAAATAAAGATATTGTTCGTGTTGATGTTAGAATAGCTGTTTTAGAACATACACTAATGCAATCAAAAGTGAGAGAAAAAGAAGAATACAATGACGAGAAACAAGATAACCTATTAAATGCACCTGATTTTGAAACAATATAGTTTTATTTATAGACTTGCACATATTTTAGATTTTTAACTACTTTTGCTGTTAATAAATTCTGCTCTTAGGTTAACTGTTCTTACTTTAAAAATCTCATAAAAATGTAAAATTTGATGTTTGAAGATAGGTGGAGAAAAATTTGTTTATTTTGAGTTTAAGATCGTATCTAAAATCTCTGTCTAATGAGCAAAGCTTGTGAAACCGCGTTCTTCGTATTATGACTTAATAAAAAACAAAGTATACAGTAGTTTCTCTTTATTTTGGTTGATCAATTTCATCATGTAGGAATAGGTTTTTCAGGAACGATGCTCTTGGAGGTTCAGATCAATGTTTCTCAAAGGTTATACTTTCGACGAGAGTTACAGTGATACGAACATATAACTCTTCGCAGCTAGTAGCTTTTTATTAGAAAACATTTTCCAACTACATTGAGGTTAGCATTCTCGCGAAAAGCAACAGTCAGATGCTCCACTATCTAATTAGGAAATGCTATATACCGCAGTATTAGGACAATGTGTTAGTCATCGTGGACTCAGTTACCTATCAATTGACTGCTTGACTGTGAGTTTTCATGCATTTTATTTAGCATAGATACAATGAATTTAGGCTTTGCAAATATTCTACTTTTTCCTAAAAACATTCTGCTTTGTCCTACTTTCGAGATTTTATCGTACAACTCCTACACTGTAAGATTGGAAATTATTTATGGAAAATGCTCAGCGAATTTCAAAGAGTACCTATGGCAATTTCCGAGGATTTTCCAGTTTATAGAGAATCGAATTTTCAACAATCTAGAAAATCGTCCCTGAATTTCCATAAATAATTTCCAAGAATCTGGAAATTCCTCCTTGATTATCCAGTTTGTTAGAAAATCGCCCTTGAATTTCCATAAATAATTTTCAAGAAAGTACAAATTCCGTTTTGATTTTCTATAAACTGGAAAGTCCTTGGCGGGTCTACGCCGAGTGGCGGCGCGACCAAGTTGTATGGGGTTGACCCCGCTCATGCTTTTGAGAAATTTCTGGTGAACGTCTCCGATTTTCGGACCTTCCTACCGAAACTTCGCGCCACCACTGTCTCTGTCTAAATCAAAATTCTTGTTGACATAGGCAGAATTGTGATCTAAAGTAGAAACTGTAAAAGTTGATTTAAGTGTAATATGAGTGTCTTTACGTGACGCTCTTATACCTACACTGATTGCAAAAGAAAAAGATGAATAAGTATTTTGTCTAGAAATTCCTGGGCGAATTTTCAGTTTATAGAGAATTCTCAGCGATTCTCCACTTTTATAGAAAATCGAATTTATGGAAGTTCAAATCGATTTTCTATAAACTAGAAAATCAACATTTCCTAGCCACCTGGAAATTCATCGAGAAATTTCTATAAACTAGGAAATTCCCACCGATTTTCTATAAACTGGAAAATAATTCAAGATTACAGTGTACTTTTTCAAATTTTTTTCCTTTTTTTAGTAAATTTTACTTACAAATATTTGATTTTTTAAAGGGTCAGTTTATTGATAACTTCCTGATATATGACTCTCAGTTATTCTCTAAGTAAACTGTCTATGTATTTTCCGCAAAACAAAATTATAATCTGTCGAGAATGTACTTTTTATAACAAAAAGATGCAGAATTTAGCCATCTACAAAACTATACGTACATTTAATCTGGACTATTCTACATAGTATTTAAAGCATTAAAATATTAATTTTCAAAACTTCTCCATTTATTGATGCATTCAAGCACTATATCGCGCACGAAAAGCGTTATGCATTAAAACATTCTCTCAAAAAATATACACCATTGCACGAACGTCGAAGATCTTGGAAGTTAAGGGCGCAAAGCAATCGAAGAAATTTCCAAAAGCCAGATTTTTTTAAAAGGTAGTGATATTTACATGAAACGTCGATTTTAAACAGAAGATTGTTTCGCTGTGAGAATCTAATTAGAATCATCTCAATATCATATGAATCTACTCTCTAAAAACAGTTTAATTTAAAATATCCTAAAAGAGAACTGTTGGAAAATGACTGAAGAACTAATAAAAGTTTCAAAACCATTCTATAAAATTTGAATATATCATGTCTATTAAACTCAGTACTCTAAACCATCTAAAAGGGTTTAGTTAACATGATGAATGTTTTTTCCGATATGGAAAAGGATTTTCAGAATGACTCTTAAACCCAAAGAGTTTTGTAAAGTAACTCTCAAACAAGTTCAGCAGCCGTTCATTTCTCTAAATCTTTTTTTTCTTAAAAATTTATAAACTAAGCTTACCTTTTCCAATTTTTACAGATAAAAATGGACACTATCCGGTACAACGTGACATCTTCAAACAAGTTCACAGTCTTTGAAATTTTATCTTTACAGGACAAATCTTTCATTTTGAACACTCAGTATATTTCGTAGTGTTACTTTAATCAGCAATGACAAGCTTAACAGTCATCATTGATAAATGTGATTAGTGTTTAAATATATGTTTTTTCTTGAAAAAGCCCTAGATTCCATTACCCATCTGTACACTAATTTTTCTTTCACATTGGGAAATGCTCAGAATTATTTTGACGATGAAAAAAGACGGAAATGAGCGTTGTCATCTGCTTGATCATATATATACTCTTATTTATGAGTATTGATGGGTAGTTTAGACAGTAAACTATTTTCTCTGGCCAGCCATGTCACTGTGACTATGACAGTATGTAGTTTTAAAAAATCACACTTATTAAGACATTGTAGACGAGTTTATCTTTGTCCAATCGAATGAACGTAAGCAGAGAATAGGTTGATTTCGATCATGTTTAATAGAAATTTAATCAACTTTTCTACTTTGTCAATCTGAAAAATACTGACGTTAGAATGATATACCAGTCCTCAAAATGTTCACACGGTCTCATCATCATGCTTCGCAATAATCGTTCCAACGTTTAAACTGTACACATTTGTACGGTTTACATTTTTGTTTAAGAATCGGTTTGCTATTTTTACGTCCACACGAATAGAGATAATGTTGTTCTATTAGTATACCACATTCTTTTCCATCTTCAATCTTTTCAAGCAACGTTCGTCCACAATAATTATAACCTTTGCCAAATAAAGTTTTTAAGGATAGTGGACAACATCCAGCATCAACACTTTCAAATACTAGAGAGATGAATAATGCTAATAATAAAATTTTAGAATTCATTGCAACTCTAAAAAGCATTATTGAAAAATATATCTACAGTTGAGTTGATGTGGTAAAGAAAAGTTGATAGATGACGTTAGGCAAAAGTAGACTGTAATGAATTCAGTCATCATGTCAGCATCATCCTGTAATCCTGTAAGACTCTAGTAAAAAATAGACAGGAAGTGTGTAGGATTTTGTCTAGGGCGGTGCTATTCGAAATGTATTTCAGATTTCAGTCATCTCGGGAAGTTAACTGTTCGCATGCAGAGATAAGCCAATATGCCTTCAGAAACAAGAGCAAAATTTCAAACTTATCCATGGCAAATTCTACATTTTGATCGTAATTTAATTTATCTAAGCAGAAAATAACTGTTTTTTTTTTACAAAAAGAAGTTATCGACGAATGTGTGTGTGAGAGAATTTGAGTCTTGTCTTTTTCTTCGTTACAGGATGATCACGCATTTTCATTTATTATTCTGTTACTTTTTCTCGTGAAAAAAATGTGAATCCAGTTCCTTGGGTATTTATTAAATTAGACTGAAAATATATTAAATGAAAATATGTGTACATATATAAGTGCTTATGTCAAATAACAACGGCTTCAGGTAACTTTTGAAAGACTAAGAATAAAACATATAATATAAAAGATTAACATGTAATATTCATTTTGTTGCCATTCAATATATTTATTCTCTAATTTCACCATTCAAACATTATGTTGTTAGACTATAGCTATATAATAAAACGTAAATAAAATGTGTCTTTTTATTTATTTCGTTTAAACTGAAAAAGGCGTTTCAAATTGTAGAATGCATTTTTTAAAATCGTTTTACCATGACTCATCAGATAGAGTCACACGGAGTAATTCTGATAATCGCCTAAAACTTTTCAGATATTTTCAGCATATTTGATTCATCTTTCACCAGAGAAAATTAGTATTATGCAGGTAGATAAAGCTGACTTTTAACTATCTACTGATGTAAAACTTTTCCTAAAATTCGTTAACATTAATTAGTTCTAATCAATTTCCAGTGAATAGGTTTAGAATTATCATAATTCCCTCATCTGGGTTAATTGTGATAACACAGCTATTTTTCATGGGGTAATTATGATAACTGCAGCCAAAATAGCTGGAATGAATTTAAACCATTTAGTTTCAACAAGAAACTTGGAGTAAATTGACTAAAAAGTACACCACCTTGTAGAGAATTTTCTGCTCTATCTCCTATATGAATTGGCAGTCATTTGGACTTAATCTAAATTAATTAATTAGAAATTACGAAAAGTAAAAGACAGTCATTTTTTTCACTTGTCTTCTTTAGGGTAATTATGATAATCCCGTGTAAATCACACGGATAGATAGGAAAAAATCTCCACCGTCTCTCAGAACCCAATTTCGATGCTATACTAAATGACAAAGTTGTCAGAATCTTATAATCTACCATATATGCGAAAATTGCGAAAAAAAAATAGTATTTTCAACAAATAATGGGCATATAATAGAGCTAGAGTTTTTTAAACGCATTTTTGTGCATTCAAATTAGTAGAATCACTAAGCTACAACCTAAATTAGCAATTAGATCATTGATATTTGAAACTTTTCATGTGCACTATAAAATCCTCTTTCTCTTGATAGAAAAAAAATTTAAAAAACATCATATATAACGTTAATTATTTTACATAGCAGAGAATTGGTGACAGTCTGAAAACTCTAATTTTCGTAAAACTCGCTTTTCGGTAGATTTTTAAAAGTTTTCTAAAAACAAATATTACCACGAGTCTCAGCGTGATTTCCCACGAGCCCGAGAACTGGCATCCGGTGACTATTGGTAGGCTTGAGCTGCTTTATGAGCTGTCCTGAGCGTTTCCTGAAAATTTCCTTGAGTCAGCACGAGATTTGACCGCGATATAAGGATTTTAACTTTTGCCGGTGGTGTTTATATACAAGCCTTCAATGCAAAAGAAAAGGGCGACTGGCTTGTCCAAGTATTTGGCTGAAGCACGTCTAGTAACGACACTTGCCAAGTCCTTGATCAAGTACTTCCCAAGTGCTTAAGTTGTCACGTGCTTCCAAAGTACTCATCGAGTAACAAGTACTTGTACCAGGTGCATTCACTAGGACATATCGTAGATGTGTAAAAATTCTAAGTGTGCAAATACGAATCAAACTGGTGTGCTTTTTTCTAGCTGTATAAAAGTCTCTCTATTTTTACAGATGTGTAAATTTTGCCAGTGTGTTTCTGGTACATCACATCGTGCATTTCTAGATGCGCAAATGCGAATCAAAGTGATGTGCAATTTGGGCACACTTTATTTTTTACAGTGTGTGCTCAGGTGGAAGACATCTTACAAGACCTTATAAGATCTGATGACTTCTTATGCAATTTTGCTACAAGACATTTTGGCAAGACCTTGTAAGGTCTTATCTCAAGATCATGTATGATCTAGCGGAATCTTGTAACTTCTTTTCGTAAGATATTACAAGATCAACTTAGAAGAAATTTTAAGATCTTATAAGATCTTGTCACAAGACATCATATGAACTTGTAACAAGAAAGCATATGATCTTGCAAGATCTGGTCAATAAGAGAGTATACTCATATTAAGCTCTTATCACCAGGCCATATGATTTCTTGTTACAAGATCTTACAAGAAGTGATCCTTACCACAGAAATTTTGCTACGATACCCCGGTCAAAAAATCAGATCAAGATCTTACACGATCTTATAAAATCTTACGGAAAATCATAGAAACGGATTCATCTTATAAAAATTAGACAAGAATCTTACGAAATCCGATGAAATCTTACTATAAGATCTTACATCAAGGATCAGTTTCTATGTTTCGTACAGAATCTTACGAAATCAGACCGAATCGTCGAAGAATCTTATAAGATCCTACAACAAGATTCTTTGCCCTGGGTACGCTCGAAAATATTATGAAAAGAAAAAATCAAAGAGCCTAAGTCAAAGAATCTTGCTGTAAGATCTTATAAGATTCTTGGTATAGTAAGATTTCATCAGAGTACGTAAGATTCTTGTATGATTTTTATTAGATGAATTTGTTTCTATGCTTTTCCGTAAGATTTTTTTTGACCTGGGTATAGGACAGAACCATAACCAGAGATGTAATCTTGTAAGATCTGATGAATTCTTATATGATCTTATGAAATCTTTCACGGTCTTGTCATTTATTTGCACGATTATACAAAATCTGATCACAAGATCTTGCAGTTCTTACGGAATCTTGTTGCGAGAAAAATCTTGTGAAATCTTATAAGATTCTTGTGACATCTTGTAAAATTTCATATGACATGTAAGATCTTATGGTATCTTGTAATATAATCTTACAAGATGTCGTATGATCCTACAAGATCATATTTCAAGAGTCTTCGCTCCGAGTGCATGAGGGAAGAAATATCTACAATACTTCAGGAAACTCATGCGAAAATGTCTACAGAAAAATCACTAAAAATGCCGGTCCAAGCGGTTTTTTCTTTAGCAGAAACAACCCTAGTGAATGTACTTGAGATCAGATACTTAGAAAAGTACTTGAATAAGTAATGTCCAGAGTACCTGGAGTTTTTTGCCAGTAAAAAAGGTACTCATCAAGTAATTTAACAAGTATAAGTATTAGATAAGTACTTCATCAAGTATCGGACAAGTAACCTGGTAAGCACTTGCGAAATATATCCAAGTATCCGAAGTTCTTCCAAGTACATGACACGTATTAAATCTAAAAATGCTTGACAAGTGCTTAACCAAGTACTTTAGAAAATTTGCAAGTAGCTAAGTACTTGATATCAAGTACATTCATCAGGGAACGCCGTGAAACGAAGTTTTCAGTCACATTAGCCGCTTTAGACCGGAAAGAATCGTATCGAAAATGGCTCATCTTTCAAACCGTTTTCTTCTTCTAAACCACATAGTGAAAAACAAGTGCCCTTCGGGCGATGAACGAGGCTGCACAAGTTTGTTGTTGGAACGATAAAAACCGCAGTTTTCAAAAGCTTTTTTGCACAGGAAAACTGCTTCGAACTGTGGCCTATTGACGTTTTTTTCACAAGCGCATACATAAGAAACTGTCAGAAACGTGTCTCTAGCTTTGTCGAAGACTTTTAGCTCGTTCGCTTGATTCCACCATGTTTTACTCTGACTTTTCTTCGAGAACATGCTGAAATCGATTTTTAATGTTTTCGTCCGCCATACGATGCTTCCATCACGTCATAATCTCTATCTGAAATAAAAAGGAAAAGTCAATATTGCACGGGAATTTCGGCCCGCTGTGCTTCTACTGTATATAAGCACCTCCTAGTGTCGTTAGCCATAATACTGAAGTATCTGATTTTCGATAAACTGTGGAGTTTACTTTTCAGAAGCATTTCTCGCTCAGGTAAACTAAGTCTCACTTCGGTGTATTCCCCAATTCTGATTCGACATATGATTGAAAATAATCTTGAATTAAAGATGAAAAAGACTCATGCCTCAAAAGTTGATTCACTTGTGAGTTTTATCAATAGTGTTATGTTTGTCTTGTCTTTATATTTATTGACACAAAAGAAAACTCAAAAAAATAAAGAAAGAGGGAATAATAAAAGAAGTTACATGAACCGTGTCAAAGAGTGTACATCAAAACGCATAAGGGCTTATACCCAAGCAAAAACGACCCAATTTTTTGGGTTATTTATCTAGATTCAGCTCCACGTACATCTAGATGCACGTGGACCTGAATCTAGATAAATAACCCAAAAAATTGGGTCGTTTTTGCTTGGGTACCTACAACAAAAGTTGTAGTAGACATACACCTGATAGAAGAAAAACAAAAACAAAAAATTCATAACAATAAAAGAGCAAAACCTGCACATAAATGTTTAAGGCTACCTGTTTTAACAGAGTAAAGGTAAGGGGGAGAAAGAGAGAAACCACCGCTATGAAACATCAAGTTTTCAGCCGAATTGTCTTAAATATAAATATATATATTTAAATACATGTATAGGTAACAAATTAAAAGGAACTCAA